GTTGTGGTTGGGCGCTGCTGAGTCTTCAAACTGTTGCTAGGTGTGTCCTGTAGTCATTTACCACCCATGGTGACTCTGTGCACAACAGAAGGAAACACCGCCCAGTCCTGAACTATCAACTAGCATGCAAGAAAATTATTAAATAAAAAAGCCACATGCACAAAAAACATCAAAAAGAGCCAAAGAGCAAGTGAATGTGAAAAGGAACAAAAGTAGAGCTTCTAAAAATGACAAATATACTTATTGAACTTAAAAAATCAAGTGAGTTGATTAAAAAACAGAAATGGAATAGTTCCGTGAGATAGTTCAATGTAGGTTTAACTGGCCAGATTATGGAGAACAAGGAACAAAGTGGAAATGACTGAAGAATGGATGAAAGCTACAAATGTACAGATTCACAAACTATAATGACCGCAAATGAGATTAAAAGAAAACAACCCTCCACACAGTGGCTTTAATGTTCTGAAATTTCTTGATAAATTATCTTAAAAGTAGTCAAGTGGGAAGGCAGTAGGGATTACCTATCAAGGAATGACAATTATACTGACAGTTGACTTCTTCGTATCAACAATGAAATCTAAAGATAGTGGATTCATAAATTCAAAGTGCTAAGAGAAAAATAACCATTAACTGGTATGCCTAATGAATCCCATCTCAAGGCACCATAAAGTTATTTTCAGACAAATGAAAAAAGAATGTCCTTCAGCAAGAATGGCCTGATCGTGACCTCAGACTTCTTCTCACTTTATAATGGGGAAGGAGAATCAAACTTATCAGCCTAAGGCCAAATCCTATGAGGCAAAGGCTGGACATGACTTCAGTGACCAATTCTGGCACCAACCATCCTCCCAGACCTTCTTTGTTGGTAACACTCTATTTCTCTACTCACAATGGCCATAACTCACAAAACCCTCACACCAACAAATATCCTTTTCTCTTTCTTCCTGTTTATAGGTATGCTTCTCTGCTACCCACTCTTCTCCAATCCAAATTTTCCATTTTGCCTGTCCTCGTCATCAGCATTCCATCTCAGGGCACTTCTGCAAAGAATCGTCCCAGGCCCCTTCCAACCTGAACCAGCCTGGGACCATGCACAGCCCATACATCAGTGTCCTCCAACCGACCCTGGACCAAGAATCCCTGGATAGGAACACATTATCTGACCCATCATCTTCCCTGGGCCCATTCTGAAGAAGTACATCTACAGAACACTCTAGAAAATATGACTTGGCAGCTGGACCTTTGCCCATGGACAAAGGTTAGTTACAAGGTAGGAACGGGCAGGAAGAAGTCAGATCCCAGAATTCTAAGGGGATAAAGGATCCAGGTACCCTCAATTTGGGAAGCCTACAGTATTCTGATCCCAAGACCTCACACTGCTCCTTGTCTGCAAAGATAGTTAAAATCTCTTTTAGTGTTTCTCTTGCTTTGTTTCAATGGTTAGTAGAACAGGACATGAGCCTGGAAGCTGGACAAGACTGGGAAGAATAATTTAAGCATCAACTATTTGCAAACCATAAACCTGAAACATAAGGACACAAGTTGAAACCTGAAGCATAAGGACACAATGGAAATGATTAAGAACCAAAAGAAAGCAGGTATATCCAATAGAGAGTTCTGAGGGGGCTGGCTCCAATCCCAACTACGGGGACAACTTCCCCTCCCCACAGAAGAATTCACTTCAGAGGACAGCACTGAAACTACATCTCAGGGGGAATGACATGTCTGATCAGAACACACAGGAGCAAATGGAGAGGAAGAGAGAGTGGAACACATTCTGGCCCATCAAGCCCTGAGGACGATATTCCCACTCAGAGAAGCCAAAGCACAGAGAGGACTATAGGGCCTGGCCACACTATGAGACATGACATCCCTCACTGACCCATAGCGCACGGGAGGGGGCAAGGGGTAGGCAACACTAGAGACACATTGAGGGAATTGTGCCCGATCTAACCCCACCACACTGAGGCAAAACAATAAGGGTGTGCAACAGAACAGCAAGGGGAACAGAGCAACGAAGTCCCAAGGGAATACCAAAAAATAGACTTTGGGGCCAGGGTGTGGCACCCTATCAGACTTGACTTGAAAAAATTCCTAAAGGTCAAAAAAACAGACCTTGAACTATTTACAGGTTTGCTTTTTTTTTTTGTCGTTGGTTTTTTGTTGCTTTGTTTTGCTCTGTCTTGTTTTTTTGTGCATATTATTATCTCTGCAAGTCTATCTAGATAAGATAGGTAGGATAAAAAATCTGGAGGAGAAAACAATAGGATTTATGGTTGGAGGGGCATGGGAGAAGGGAAGGTGGGGGAAAGGAAGAGGCTGTTAATAAACCCAGGGACAAGGGAACAAGTGATCCAAAATCGATGGTGAGGTGGGTGTAGCAGGCCTGGTAGGGCTTGATCAAGGGCAATGTAACTAAGAAGAATTACTGAAATCCAAATGAAGGCTGACCATGATAGTGGGGCAAGAGGAAAGTAAAACAAAATAGAGGAAAAAAAAGAACTAGGAGGCACAGGGCATTTATAGCGGTTTAAATACAGGATGTGTGAATGTAAGTATACTTCTATATGACGATGGGGAAATAGATCTATGTGCAAAAATGTATAGATTTAGTATTAAGGTAGCAGTTGGACATTAGACCTCTACTCAAGTACTACCTCAATGCAAGAACATTTTATTCTATTAAACTGGCATTCCATGATGCTCACCTTCCCAACATGATCGCTGAAGGCAAAGTGGGTGCATAAGCAAATGTGGCGAAGAAATGTGATGGTGCCTGACTATCAAAAGATATAGCATCTGGGGTCTTAAAGGCTTAAAGGTAAACAAGTGGCCATCTAGCTGAGAAGCAACAAAGCTCACTTGGAAAAGCACACTAGCCTGTATGATCACGAGGTGTCAAAGGGATCAGGTATCAGACATCAAAGAACAAAAAACCCTTTCATTGTGAATGAGGGGGAGTATAGATTGGGGACCCAAAGCCCATCTGTAGGCCACTGGACATCCCCTTACGGAAGGGTCTTCAGGAGGAGACGAGCCCGTCAGGGTGTAGTGTAGCAATGATGAAACATACAAGTTTCTTCTAGTTCTTAAATGCTTCCTCCCCGCCCCACTATCATGATCCCAATTCTGCCTTACAAATTCTTCTAGACCAGAGTATGTACACTGGTACAGATAGGAACTGGAAACAGGGAATCCAGGACAGATGATCCCTTCAAGACCAGTGGTGACAGTGGTGATACCAGGAGGGTTGCGGGAAGGTGAGGTAGAAAGGGGGAACTGATTACAAGGATCTACATATAGCCTCCTCCCTTGGGGATGGACAACAGAAAAGTGGGTGAAGGCAGACATCGGACAGTGTAAGGCATGAAGAAATAACAATTTCTAAATTATCAAGGGTTCATGAAGGAAGAGGGAGAGGGGAGGGAGGGGAAAAATGAGGAGCTGATACCAAGGGCTCAAGTAGAAAGAAAATGTTTTCAAAATGATGAGGGTAACAAATGTACAAATGTGTTTGACACACAATGGATGTATTGATTTTGACAAGAGTTGTACGAGTCCCCAATAAAATGATTTAAAAAAGAGAAACATACAACTTTCCTCTACTTCTTTAATGCCCCCCCTGCCCCCCCCCCATCATGATCCCAATTCTACGTTACAAATCTGGCTAGACCAGAGGATGTACACTGGTACAGATAAGAGCTGGAAACAGGGAATCCAGTACAGATAAACCTCTCAGGACCAATAATGAGAGTAGTGATACCAGGAGGGTAAAGGAAAGGTGGGGTAGAAAGGGGGAACCAATCACAATGATCTATATATAACCCCCTCCCTGGGGACGGACAACAGAAAAGTGGGTGAAGGGAGACATCGGACAGTATAAGACATGAAAAAATAATATTTATAAATCATCAAGGGTTTGTGAGGGAGGGAATCTGAGGGAGGGAAGGGAAAAATGAAGAGCTGATATCAAGGGTATCATCACGCTCACCACTGGTCCTGAAGGGGTCATCTGTCCTGGATTCCGTGTTTCCAGTTCCTATCTGTACCAGTGTACATCCTCTGCTCTAGCAGGATTTGTAGAAAGTAGAAAGAAAATGTTTTGAGAATGATGATGGCAACAAATGTACAAATGTGCATGACACAATGGATGGATATATGGATTGTGATGAGTTGTACAAGCCCCCAATAAAATGATTTAAAAAAAAAGAAAGCAGGTATATCTTTAAGAACAAAAAAATGTCATTAGAGATAACGATTTTTATATTCCTAAAAGGTTCAGTACATCAGTAGATACAATTCTAAGCATATAGCTATCCAAGAACGTCTGACTGAACATCAAGGGGGAAAAGGCCATTCTGTCACTACATTGGGCGATGTCAACGCATCTTTAAATAATGGATGATCCATATTTAAAAGATCCATATTGAAGCAAAGATTTGAATATCCTTATTTTTCCACAAATGTACCAGATATACTCGAGTATAAGCTGAGGCACCTAATTGAACAACAACAAAAAAACCTGGGGGGCATTTTCAGCATAAAAAATGTGCTGAAAAAACTCGGCTAATGCTCGAGTATATACGGTACTCATGATTTTTGCAAACCGTGCAACGCCCTTGCGTTAGTTTCTGATGCTCTCACATGTGCGCGCGGTGTTTCTGTGGGTGTATTCTAGGTGAAAAATACAGCATGTACTTTCCGCACTGCTCCCAACAGTTGAGAATGTTTTCAGTGAATTTCAAAGAATTGGTGTGATCCCTGGATATACATCACTCTACATAGAAAATAATGCAGTTGGGTCTACGTGAGTCAGCACATTTTCTGATGCTATGCGCATGTGCCTGCATCACCATTTCCGTGAGCAGCAGTTTCAGAGGTGGCATAAGGCAACAAATAGTCTGCTTCTGTAGGGCATTTTAAACATGCTTAGGGTTCAAAAAGTGACGAAGGCCAACTGACTGTATTAACTTTAATATTTGAAAAAAGTTATCCAGAAATCAACAACTTGTTACAATACAGAATTGTACAAAAAGAGGGACAGAAGTTAAAAACTTCTGATCACACAGACAAAAATACGATTAAGCAAAGACTGAAAAGGGACAACACATTTATAAATATTGATAAATACTGTGCAAGACTTTAATTTACTGTGGCAGATACAAAATCAAGAATTCGTTAACATTAAGTTTAAAAAGTAATGACACGAAGTTTCTAGGCTGTTTAAATTAATGAAATATAACAATAATGGTGTTTTGTTTTGTTTTTTAAAAAATGAGGTATTATTACACTGTAAACCAAAAACAGGGCATAAATAAATAAAGGCAATGTGCAATTTAGTGATATATGATTATAAATTTCAACTTAATAAGAACAGACAACAAAAATTTTCCAGTTATTTATGAACACTGTCATTTAAAAATTTGGCTTGCTCAACTACTTATTTAAAAGTGACACAGCTACCAATATACAGGCACATCATTGAACATGCAGACCAAGCCAACATGATTTTCCATGAGTCATCTCTACCAAATAAAAACGCTGTTTACATTTTACTGAAAACACTTAAATATGGTTTCCTATACATAATTCTTTTGTGCTTATTAGTTAATATTAGCCTACATTAAACATCTTACTTTCTAGTTCAAGCAGTGTATGGGAGAAGCAGTTTTATTTGCATATGGATTAAAAACAGCAAAACCAAGCCAATACATCTTTAACCCTCAGGCCTTCTGAGATGTTAAAGAAAAAACCCTCTGGGTAGTGTATCCAAACAGAAAAGCAGGGTCACTCCCATTTCTTAGAGAGAGTTAACTCCTTTTCCTCAAAGATTTGTGGGTTGGCTTCCAAACTGCAGGAGAACACGCTGATTAGCTCCTCCACCCTTGAAGGGTTCTGCTGGTTGGGTGCAGGAAGCATAGCAACAAGAAAATAGCCTAACTGAGAACAAATGTCGGGGAAGTATTATTTGCATGTGAAACCATATGCTGGTACTAAATGCTGGCATCATCATTATTGCGGCTGTGACTGCAGGATTTTCTGAAGGGAAGCTATCAAAGTATAATAGAGAAGTCTTGAGTTGGAAACATGTGCAACATGCTAATAACACTGCTTCATGGACTGTTAATTTTTAAAAAGCCATTTCACTGTCAGACTTAAAATAGTTTCTTTTCACATGCTACTTTATTAGGACATTCAAAAAAGGGTACTACTGAATTTACTATGTTTGGAATCCAGTGAAAAAAAAACAAACAATTTGGCCAAAATGTTGAACTTTATTTTTACCAAGCTGCATCATTTTGACACAAAGGTGATTATTCTCTTCACTTTTGTCAATTACCTTATCCTACCTTCTCCATAAATTAATACTTCAATATAAGTGGCGATAAAAAAAATTAGAAATAAGCTTTTTACAACAATCAAAAAATATATAAACTGTTCTCTTGTGCTTGTAATTGACTTAACTCATCAGTGATTAGCTATATCTGATTTCTTTTTTTAATAACTTGATCCTTAGGAAGAAACGATCATTATACAAATACTACACAGTACTCAGAGTAACTAGCTTACTGCCAGTGTGCATGCAGACTAACAACGATATTTAAAAGAATATAACCTTGAATCCAATTGGTCTGAAAATAGTTACACTCCTGTACAATCATCTTTATTGGTTTGTAAAAGCTGTATACACATCTAAAACCCTGAATTTACTTTGTAAAAATAAATCTTTTGCAATAAATGGCACTATCAAAATCCCATGACCTCAGACTATTATGTAGTTATTTACATGCTCTTCAGCAAGAGTTAAAAGAATCTTATAGGACCAAAACCAGTATATCAAAAAGAAAGAAAAACAAACAAACAAACCCTGTAAATTGCATTTGCAATTATACTGTTGCTTACCTCTATATGAAAATATGTCTACATGCCTCATATTAATGATAATATAGCTGACTACTTTGCTACTGTGTGCTGACAGCACACGCTCTGCCACTGGGTTTGACCTGCCATTTTACTGTACCTCGCTTTCCCAGTGGGACACCTGTGACAAACGACTTATGGGGGCTAATCAAGTGCTATAAAAGAGGGGCTGGACCCACACTCATCTATGCTATCTGCAATTTGTTTGTAGAAAATCATGCCTTCATTGAAATGCTTCACATTTGATTTTAGAAAAATCAGTATTTTAAAGTTGGTGCGCTTTGTCAAGGTGTTTGAGACAGAAACGTGAAAAAGTTAAAGGCACAATAAGAGGGAAGTGAATGCTACATATAAAAAGTAGTATATTTCAAGTTTTTTAGGTTACTCAAGTCCAAAACCTTCCGAATTTGAAATGCCAATGATCAATTTCTGTTTCAGGTCTTTTTTGCTCTTGTAGGGGGGAAGGCAAAGTTGATTGAAGCAGGTGTGGGCCACAGGTAACCTAGGAAAAACGTTTAAGATACCAAGTATTAAAACACACAAAAGGAGTTTTAAGTTTTGTTTTACATGGCGCGCGCACACACACACACACACACACACACACACACACACACACACACACACTCTTTTACTACACTGAGATGGCGCACTCATTCTTTCAATGAACAAATGTTTACTGAGAACCTACCATGCACAGAAACTGTTGAACACTCGGGCTATGTTTACAAACAAGATAGTAACTGTCCTTGTAGCAAAAATTTTTATTTTTTAAGTGAAAAACTAGATCTGGGTTTGATCTGTCATCCTCACCACAAAGCTGTGTAGTGGTGGGACCTTGTTAAAGTTGCTCAGAGGCTCCAAATCTCAGCTTCCTGATGACTAAGAGAGGGCAAACACCCAACTGGGTAACTCACAAGCTTTAATAAACTTCCTAAGACACCCAGCAGAATAATAGATAATATAATTGTGACTAGCATTTCCATTTTGGCTGTTGAAAAATAATAAGAAGAACATTTTGGGGCCCTTGATGCCACACTTTAAAAATTGCTGCTTAAATGCATATCAAAGAGTTACCCTTCAAGCCTTCCTATCAGCTCCCTACCTCTTTCTTGATGACACTCTTATTTTCACTGAAATTTTCCTACCTCAGGCCCTTTCCTTTCCCTCTATGAACAGGAGAGCATCAGAATAGCTGTCACAGAAGTTGGTGAATAAAAATGAGAAACAAAACAGGAAAATGGATATTTAAAAAGGAACCAGAAGTCGAAGTTAAATTTTTGAGTTTCCTGTATCGAAAGACTTCTTAAATTTCCTGTAATCAGCATTTACTGAGTGAATGCAGTCACCAGCATTGTGCTATGTGCTTTTGCATGCCCTCTTTCATTTAATTTGAGCCTCAAACCAACTTAAAAGGTGGCTATTTTAATTCTGATGTAACTGATGAGGAAAGATACATGCACCTATATAGGTTAAATAATTTGCTCAAGGTCACTGAGATGGTACAGTGGTTGATCTGAGATTCAAACTAACAAGGCTTGGGTCAGGCACATCTCAGTCCTCAAAATGACATCTCTACTTTCAGAAGATTTTAAAGAGATCCTTTGCAGTAGGTCATTTGATCTCTTGACTGCTGCTTCCATGAACAATGATGGTGAGTCCAAGGACAAAGAAATCCTTGACCCCATCAATCTTTTCTCTATTGATGGTGATGTTTTTTACTGGTCCATTTGTGGTCATCCATACTGGAAGCAGTCGTCTTTGATCTTCATCAGTAAATGCTTCAGTCCTCTCCTCTTTCAGAAATTCATGTTTGTGTCATCTGTACATGGAAGGTTGTTATGAGTCTTCGCCATTCCTGATGCTGCTTATTTTTAAAAAATTAACCATTTTATTGGGGGGGGGGGCTCTTACAGATCTTATGACAATCCATCATTCAATTGCATTACACTGCATTCTTATTCATGAAGTCCAGCTTCTCAGATTAGCTTTACAGAGTGAGTAAATATGGTGAAAGGATGTAATTCTGCATTTCTTCCATCTTCCTTTGAGGCTTCCTGGGTTATACCACATTTTGTCTATAGGTTCAATTTTGAATTTCAAGACTTGAACTTTTTCTTCAGTTCTTTCACCTTGAGGAATGTTGACATAATCTTCCTTTTTGGTTTTCTAATTCTAGGCCTTTGAACATTTCATTATAATAATAATTTACTTCCTCTTCCCAAGCTTTCCATTAAATATTCTTTTCAGCTTATCCATTGTCATTTCTCCCAATTGCATAGTGTTGGGCTGTGATCCACTTGGTCAGCAGTTTGAAACCACCAGCAGCTCCACGGGGGTGGCTATGAGTTAGCATTGACTGGCTGGCAGCAAGTCTGTTTTTGGTTGGTATGAGACGTCTGACTACATGGAGACTAGAAAGCTGTAAGAGGCACGGCCTCTGCTCGTCAGGAGCTAATAATCAAGAACTAAGGTAAGACATGTGAAATGTCCTATGAGGATTTGTTGAAGGAATGACTTAAAACTTTACAGAGGAAGCTGGCTTCAAACTGGGTCTTTAAAGAGGGGTATTTTCATACGTAGGGAGGTAGTAAGCAAACACCATATGTGTACAAAATCATTTATATTTTAGAGGATGGCAGGCCCAGAATATGTCTAAAAATAGGAAGAGTCCATTGACTAAAGTATAGGCAACACCAAACCAAACCAAAGAAACAAACAAAAACCCAGAAAGGCACGTTGGCAGGGAAGACTGTAGACCTTTTATTTAACAAGCTCTAAATGCTAAAATTTATGCTGATGGGGAATAATAAAGCTACTGCCCTAGGAATTATCATGATAAAAGCAGTGTTAAGGAAAGCGAATTTAGTAGGATGAAATGATTAGGAAGTTCTGGAAGGAGGAATTTAAATAAGGTAAGAACAAAGTAAAAAGCATTCCACCATACTGGTGAGAGCAACAGAAAAGCCAGAGTCTAGCTCTAAAATGAAAGAACGAACGAGCTGACCTTGGGCAAAATATGAGTTCAAGACCTAGAGATTACTCCAATTATCTACTTTTGAAACTTCAAGTCTTTGGGAATAAATATGAGCTCAAGCAATCAACCGTTAATAAACTCAAAACAAAGATTCCTCATTGCCAACGAGTCAATTCTGACTCACAGAAGCACCACGGGACAGGGTAGAACTGCCTCCTTGGGTTTCCAAGACTGTGATTCTTTTCAGGAGTAGAAAGCCTGGTCTTTCTCCCAAACTATTAATATTGCTGTTTTATTGTGCTTTAAAGACACTGCACTTTATTTCTATTTTATATATGGAAGGTTGGTAGCAACTGTGCATTACATACGTCTATAGGTGCCATTTTTCTAACAGCATGTACTCACTACATGTCTCTGTGCCACATTTTGGTAATTCTCACAATATTTCAAACGTTTTCATAATGCTATAGCATACGTAACGAGTGTAAACATAACTTTTTTATGTACTGGGAAACAAAAAAATGAATGCTTTTTAAAAAAAATCATTTTATTAGGGGCTCATACAAGTCTTTATCACAATCCATCCATACATATATCAATTGTGTAAAGCACATTTGTACATTCATCGCCCTCATCATTCTCAAAACATTTGCTCTCCACTTAAGCCCCTGGCATCGGCTCCTCATTTT